AACACTTGGGGTAGCAGTACATCCTGGGGTAGCAGCGAGGCCCAGCCCTAGGAAGCTGCAGCACATTTAGAGAGCACAAGGACTTTCCCATGGCTCAATTTTGCTGGTGTTAGGGACTTGGAGGAAGACTGTGTTGCAAACTCCCCTCGCCCCCCACACCAACAAAGAATTCAAATACAGTCATCACTTCATTGCTCTTAAAGCTGCGTTGGAGATCAGAGCATAAGCACAAGGCCAAAATGGGACCCTCTGCTACTTCCTGCAGCATTAGACTTACCCAGTGAGCACTGGAGTGGGCAGTCTTCCCTACACGTGGGGACAGTTCTGCTCCAGCACACTGGACCACTCACCACAAGGTAGCAGACGCTTGCATAGATGAGGCCAAGGCTGGAGCTGGAGCCTGGCCTTGTACATCACTCAGTGACTCACAAAGCCAAGCAGGTCACTCCAAAAACCCTCACACAAGGAGTGTTGGGGAAAACACACACACACACAAAATACCCTGAATATCAACCCATCCCCTTCTCCCCCAGGAGACCAAAGAGAATGTGGAAGAGTTTTGGAGTATGCAGTGGCTGGTGGCCCAGAGCCATTCGAACCCAGGAAGATACATCAGGGAGCCCACATCTGGGTGTTGAGCGAGGGGGGTTAAAATGTCAACCTGTGCTGGCTTTGAAGTAACCATCCTACATACAATGTAGGCAAATGTTGGTAGCTCTTACAGATGAAATGTCTTACAGTCAGTCATTGAAAACAAATTTGTGTAATTTTTGATATATCTCCAGGACAGCAAGACATGCCCCAAGTCACCCTCCTAAACAACAGAAAACAAGTTGCTAACTCCCCCGGACACTGTAGCACTCCTGGACTATCCCAGCTTTTAGGTACCTGCTGGCAACTCAAGCTTTCTTTAGTTCAGCCCCTAATTCTCACCCCTCCATAGCCCATACTGAACAGCTCTGGTCCTTTCTAATTCCCCTTGTGGACTTTGGCTTGGGTCTGCCTCACTGCCATACTTTCAACCATGTCAAGTAGAATTCCTGTCCTGTCTGCACCTTTGATCCACCCTCTATCCTGACCAATCCTAACCTGCTGAACTTAGTCACTCACTAGGGTCATCAACCCTCCTGAAGGGCAAAGACCCTGCTGGGATGACCACGCAGCCAAGCAGAAATGTGCTTTTGATCCAGTTAAGTAAAAGAAGCAGAAAACAAATTGTTTTGCAACTGTGTGAAAATATTCCAAGGGGAAATAACAAGACCTTCTTAATTCAATCTTTTTCCTATTATTGTTACAATGCCATTGTTCTAAAGTCTATCCTAAAACAATTCAAGCCTTGTTTTATGTGGCAACTTTCCCTCAAACTTGGAGTCAATCATTACCTTTAATTATACTAATAGATTTGTGTGTATTATTTGTTAGTCCCTTTGTCCTCAGGTAGAGACCTGAGAATCCAAGTAATTTAGATTCTTTTGACTAGAGGGGGAAAAAATGTAAATGTTCATCTTCAATTTATTTTACAAAATTGAAAGAAGATAGTTTTAACTATTGGTAAAGTAAAATTGCTCTTCTAATGCTCCGGTTGAAAACTTTTATTGTGCTATTTAACTCCACTAAAAAGTATATGAAATAATTTTTTAGGTTATCAGACACTATAAAAGAAAAAAATCTATTCTGAGTTTTAAAACTTGAAGGACAATTTTAAAGGACTTAAAGTATGCAGAGTATAAATAGAAATTTTCATGGTTGAGTGAATGTGCGATTTGCCTAGGAAATGGCAGAAATAAAACTTGATCCTTGGCATCCTGACTTCTGGTGTTCTTTTCCACCTTTATCCACTGGGAAACTGGATGAAAGATATGACATATAAGCTTGGCAACAGAGAATTATGGTTAGTTTTTGAACAGTTCAATGTAATCCAGGGATAGTGTGGCTTGCCCAAAACAAATACTATTTAGGCTTCATTAGTGGAAATACAAAGTCTTCCCATTGGTCACCATGATCCTTGAAAATCCCTTCCATTCTGAGATCCTCCAGTTCCTTCAAACCCTTGAGTTTCCCCCTGAAAATTTTTTAGGATGGATTAACCTGAATGCTGAACTATACAGCAAAGGATATTACAGCAGTATTGTAAAATTCTAAAGACAATCTATATTATGAAACAAACTGCCTCTAAATTGGGTTTACGGGAAATTATAATAAATTTTAGAGAATTGGAAACCTAAAAGCATGCCAAGTTTACGCAAAAAGGAACAAGTTCAATAGGAAAACTAATGATTAAGGACTTTCACTTAAATCTGAGGGGGAAACCATGGCAAGATTTAAAGTATATTATGGAACCTTAATCTATAGGGGAAAAAAATACAAACCATGTCCATGTCTGTTTAAAGCTCTTCCCGTCCCCATATCACCAAAGATGATCAAGGAATACTTGATTGATTTGGCACCTTCCATGAGACCCCTCCCCAAAGCATCTCTCATTATATGAGGCTGTGGTTCTTTCTTTATCCACCCAGATTTTGAGACTAGATTTTGAGCGGTTAGGCATTGGGGGGAAGGGGATTGTAATTTTATATATAGTCTACAGGTGTATGTGGAAGCACCTGGCCCCTAATAAATGCTTAAAATTGTTTCTTTTACTTTTACTGAGTCATCAGGACCTCCTCATGGATCAGAGTGGAAAACATCCAATATTAGGCATAAGTCTATGTTTATACAAACATTGGTATTTAAATAAATATAATAAACATTTACCATAATAATCGTACTATGGTAGATGTTCTTTAGGTTTCTAGCAATTTCCTAAAATCTACTGTTCTATATGGTTGAATGCAAACACAACCCCTTAAAAATTAGGTTAACTTGTTCTCTCCTGACATCTAGTGTTCCTAATACATTACTGCAAAAACACTCCCAGTTAGTGTTAAACTATTATTAGAGTGAAAAATACTAGGTGAAATAAAAACTTTATTCACTTTAGAAACAAATTTGTTTAAATTAAATAAAATCCCAAGTGAAATAGCAACGCTTCTGTTTCCAAGGAGTAAAAGGTCTTTTTCTCTTAATTATTCCCATATGAGAAAATTCTTAAATGGAGTAATTTCTTGCAATTTTGGTAAGAAACAGAAAGGCCCAGCATGTATATGAGGCTGTTCTATTACTGCAGTAGAAGGAAGAAAATGAGAGGAGGGCAGTTACTGAGGTTCTACTATGTGCCAGGCCCTAGGCTTGAGTACTTCTGTGTGACTTGTCACTGTACTTTAGAAGCTATAGGACGCCACGTGCAGTGCTTCATGCCTGAAATTCCAGCACTCAGGGAGGCTGAGGCCAGAGAACTGCTTAAGCCCAGGACTTTGACACCAGTCACGGCATCATAGTGAAACCTCATCTCTACAAAAAAATCAAGAAAAATGAGCCAGGCTTGGTAGCATGCACTTACAGTTCCAGCTGCTCAGGAGGTTGAGATGAGAGGATCGCCCAGGAGGTCAAGGCTGCAGTGAGCCATGATTGTGCTACTGCACTCCAGACTGGGTGACAGAGACTCTGACACAAAAAAAAAAAAAACAGCAGCAGCAACTGCTACTACAGGACTATCCCAACCACAGAATCTCAGACCACTAACAAGATTTTGAATACTTCCCTACTCTGAAGCGTGGAAGTGGAGACATACACAAGATCCCCTCATAAAATATCGTGTCAGGGCTCAAGTTATGTGAAACTGTGGGCCCTCAGAAATATATAGCTGAATAGACATGAGTGCAAGGCCTACCCTTGAATCCCAACCTTTCCACTCCACTTGGAATATTCCACACAGGTAAGAGAATGGGAAGTGCCAAAGGTAGCACCTGGGCGATTATTCTCCAAAAGCCCTCACAAACGGGAAATCCACTGTAGGGTGAGGAAGGAGACATCAGCTATCTCCTGCATATAGAAAGGACCACACTTAGCCAATTCTTCCACCTTCTGTTCTCCCTTCCTATTCCTTATTCTAACCCACACCTCCTCCCTCAGTCATATTTGGTCTTTCAGCCTCTCTCTCCTGCTGACAAAGAATGTGACCTCACCCCTTCCCAGGCCCCATGCGTGAGAGGCTGTCCTCAAGTGGCCACCCATCTCAGAGTTTTCCAGACTGTTATTCAGCAACGTCAACAGGCACTTCGAATCAATGTTCTCTCTTGCTTTTATGGATATGGTAGTATCAGGCTTTGTCTGAATGGAACTGCATTTCTCACTTGTCCTCAAGCCTGTCTATTCCTCCTGCCGGTGATGTGTGAAAGGCAGGGATGTGTGGTCAACTCGGAAACACAGTCCAGTCTTGAAACAGATTCCAGCATAAAGACTACATATATAAGCATATAGACCATATATATATAAAATATATATGTATGGATATTATGTACACGTATTTGGAAAAATGATAAACATGAGAAGAAAACACATGATCATTCATATTTTCTTGCATTTGTGGTCATCAATAAAGCATAGTAGGAACATTTGGAAGGCAGAGTTCACTGGCAGGATGGATGGTGTAGCATTATGAGTAATGGTAGAGTCAGGATGAAGTGTTTCTAAGGAACTGCAGAGACAAACAGAACTATATGTTTCAACAATAATAGGCTGGGGAAAGCCTTGGCATCCTGACAAGTCATAGTGTCACTACCCTCTTTTAGTGATGGGAGACATGAACATGTGCTAGACACATTCAACAGTAAGAGATTCGGTAAGGAATCTTCATGTTCATGGACAGAATAGAAACTAAATCTGCCACATTTCTACGAAAGTTCTTTCTTGGCTAATTAAGTTTGTTCATCCCTTTTCATGAATATGTTCCAAATGTTCCTACTGCCCAAAGATTATGGTCTACCCCATATCTTCAGATTAGTCTTCTTATCTTTGCATGTAAAATCACTCATAACGCCCTCCAGCATCATCCCCAATCACTCTGTCCCCATGTTTCCATTTCTCTAGTAGCAGCTCTGGAAAAACCCACAGAGAACAGATGTGGAAACACCATTTATTAGACACAGCTCAACAAATTCTCTCTTTGAACAGCCTGGTTGTCCTAAAGGAGTTCCTACATTTCAGACTTTTTAGGGTTTCAGTGTGATGATAAGGAGTGGAGGAGGGGTAGCACAGATTGAGAAATATATTTAAAAAGTAGCAAAATAAATATATGACAGCTTTTTAATGATTTTCCATGCAGGGGAAAATTCATTTATAAACAGTCCTTAGTATTTATTGAGGGCCTATGGTGTTAGACATTGTGGAAGATAAAAGTTCAAGACACAGACTTGGCTTTCGTGATGCGTGCACTTTGTGGTACAAAGAGCAGTTAATATACACACACACATACACATACACATACATAAATACACACACAAAAAAAATACTCCTGAGACACAAAGGAAGGAGATATCATAGTGAACAAGAGGGTAGGATTTTAAAAGCCTCTTCAGCAAAGAGGATGTGGTGGGTGAAGAAGGGGGCAGTATTTATTTCTAGAATCAATCAATTAAAAAAATATGTATTTGTATTTTCATTACATTTACTCTTCTCTAATCTTCAGATAAAAGAAAGCTTTTCCATGAAAAACACTGATTCGTTATCTGCCCCACTGTTTAATTATCAAATGTGATATAAATAGTCATATAGTAAATGAAGAATTAGAGCTACACACATCACATAAAAGGAATCTCTGTGGCTTTCTAATATTGCCATAAGCAGCAAGTTACTGTAACCATTTAATCGTGGAATTATTCAAAGTTGCTCTGTTAACAATCAAAGATTTTCAATCAAACATATAACATTGCTGAAATGAAGAAATATTCCCAGTATAAACTGGACGGAATTGATAAATCAGTGCTTTCTCCTCTTCAGATTCATATTTAAAATGATGATTGCTTTTCCGAGCTGCAAGAAAAATAAAGTGTTAATCTTTTTGAAAGATTGGATGGCAAAATTTTCAAAAGACTAGTTTACAATATTTCTTCCTGCAATCAGCATTAAGTGGGAAAAACATCAACAAGAAGAGCAGTGCATGAAATGATGGCACCGTGACCTACTGATGCGCAGTTACACCGTATCTGCCTCCTACCACATGCAATGTGGTGCTCACTCCTCAACCCATTCAAATGGATATGGTGAAAAGGGACTGTTTATACACTGTTGGTGACCATGCAAATTAGTACCTCTATAAAAATCAATATGGAGATTTCTCAAAGAACTAAAATTAGACCTACCATTCAATCCAGCAATCCCACTATTAGGTATACCCAAAGGATCAGAAGTTGTTATACAAAAACAACACCTGCGCTTGGATTTTTTTTTGTTTTTTTTTTTTTTGAGTTGGAGCCTCACTCCGTCACCCAGGCTGGAGTGCCGTGGCACACTCACAGCCACCCCAGCATCGACCTGCTCCGGGCAATCCTTCCGCCTCAGCCTTCCAAGTAGCCAGAACTACAGGCATGCACTACCACACCCAGCTTATTTTTAATTTATTGTAGAGATGAGGTCTCGCCATGTTGCCTGGGCTGGTCTCGAACCTGTGGACTCAGGCAATCCATTCGCCTTGGCCTCCCAAAGTGCTGGTATTACAGGCTGAGCCACCGAGTCCAGCCCACTTGGATGTTTTTTCGCAGCACAATTCAAAATTGCAAAGATGTGAAATCAACTAGATGCCCATCAACAAATCAGTAGATAATAAAAATGTGGTATATACACAGCATGAAATACTATTCAGGCATTAAAAAAAGAATGAAGTATTATCTTTTGCAGCAACCTGGATGGAATGGGAGAACATAATCTTAAACGATCTAACACAGGAACAGAAAACCAAACACTGCATGTTCTCACTCAGAAGTAGGAGCTAAACTAAAGATTTGCAAAAGCATCGAGAACAGTATAATGAACATTGGAGTCCCAAAAGAAGGAAGGTGGGAAAGGGTAGAGGAATGAAAAAGCACCTAGCAGGTACAATGTGCACAGGTAAGGGCGGTGGGTACACTAAAAACCCAGACTTCTCTGCTGCTAAACAATGCATCCATGCAACCAAAAACTATTTATACCCTCCTAAAGCTACTGAAATAAATATAAATACTTAAAAAAAAAAGGAAGAAATGCCCATTTTCATCACCAAAAAGCAGACAAAGCGTATCAATTTTCTCCAATGTGCCAATGCCTATAGACAAGCAGTCTTAAAATCACAGACTGGTGAGTACATATTCAATGTATACATTGTCTTGAAAAAATAATATTTACTTTTCAGAGAATGTTATAATTAAAGCATTAGTCATAAAAATAAGAGTTGGGGGAAGAATCTAAATAAAAAGTATGCAAGAAAGAAAATAATTCAACATTCTTTATGCTGTTGTTCAAGAATGCTGTCCACTCTAGCATGTATGATACTGTTAATTGAAACAGCTGTCCTAGTTTTACTTGAGTGTCTAATATCTCCACTTCAAGGCTTACACATTAAAGTTAAACATATAGAATTTAGAGAACATTTATAGAGCAAAGGAGTCAACAAAAGTTCAGATGAGGACAATTTTTCTTTCTTTCTTTCTTTCTTTTTTGGAGAAAGTAGGATTTATTGAGAGGACAGAAAAGCTCCAGAGCAGGAGGAGACCAGAGGGGGTTGCCCAGCAATTTCTTTCAAAACTACACTAGAGTGACCAAATTATGTACCCTCCGCCATATTACCTTCATTAACAAAGAACTCTGCTAAATAAAATGCCGTTTTCACAGCATTAGGTGCATGGGAAATGCCTTCTAATTTCTTCCACTCATAAGGTGCTTTCTCTGGATGCCACTGGACACCATATATCGGATACTTATATCCTGTAAAAAGAACACAAACTAGTAAGCGTTAAGAACGATTTAAAATGTCCCTTATAATAAAATTGTTTCATGTCCTAAGTAAAAGATTATTTTATAACTCACTATATCAGAGTAAAATTGTACATATTCTTTCAGACACAAAATAATTTTGATTCACAGTCAATGTGCAAATTACCAACATTATTTCACTAACTAGCAACCTTTTACAATCTGTAATATGCTTCACTCTTTCAAATCATAGTACAGTAAAAAAAAAGCTGAGCCTAAGAATCTCTCCCAGTTCAAAAGTCAGGTGCCTGTCTGATTAGTGACACAGATTTCTTCCATGATGAGTCTCTTCCTCCTAACTTTCATAGTGCTTTCCTGCGTTCCGACAATGACTTATTCATATAAGAATGAACTATGGCAGCACTTCCAGTGTACTTTTATGTAAGTCAATTTGTCCCAATGTGTCTCTCTTTCAGTCTATGGAATGATTGATGACTTCATAGTGCAAATTTTTAATTAATTTTATTTATGTATTTTTGAGTCGAGGTCTCACCCTGGCGCCCAGGCTGGAGTGCAGTGGCACGATCAGGGCTCACCAGAGCCTTGATCTCCTGGGCTTAGAGGTGATACTTCCAACTGAACCTCCCAGGTAGCTGGGACTACAGGCACTCGCCACCATTCCTGGCTAAGTTTTTATTTTTTTGTAGAGACAGGGTCTCACTATGTTGCCTAGGCTTATAGTGTAAGTTTAAAAAATAGCTTTTAAAAGTTAAAAGGTTGATGTTAAAAATTATCAGTAACATAATTCAGTTATTTTTAGAACTGCTAGATATAGGCATAAAACAATATAATCCCTAGAATTTGCCTCAAAAAATAACCCAGTGTGGAGAGAAAACAGATTTGAAACAAGAAGGGCCACACACCTGTTGACAATTGTTGATGCTAACAGAGGTACTGAGGGTTCATTATATTATTCTATTTTTGCATATGCTTGAAAAATTCCACAATGTAAAACAAAAGTAAAAATGCATAATATTTACATTCAGAAAAATGTACGTGCTCATCTCTTTTTTCCTTCACATATGCCTTTCCTAATTTTAATTTTTAAAACTATTATTTTTTGCTTTGGAATCGTAACCATGACTACATCAGAAAATACTTGGAGAAATGAAGAGAATTAGCTGAAAGAAGATATATCAAGGGGACAGACCACTGTCCGCTCACATACCACAAGGCACCTTTCACTGGAGAGCAAGTCACAGAAAGGCAAACATTTTATTCTTTGTGGGGGTTCACAGGAGGAAAAACCTACCACAAGCAACCTATCTACGGGGCACTCTGCTGCTTCCCTCTCACTTCTTCTCCCCCACCTGCTTATGACTTTGTGCCCTTTCTCTCTCTGGTCTGAGACTATATGTGAAGCTACCAGCAAGAGACCCACAGGCTGGATGGATAGGAAACTAACTGCTAAACACACTTAACTGAAAGGCAGACCTTCTAATATTTTTGTTTGAGATATGAAAAGCACTATAGGATTAAATAATGCCTTAAGTAATAAATCACAAAAAGGATTTATCTGATATAGAGAAAGACATACAGATATATACGAGAGGTCTTCAAAAAGTTTATGGAAAATATGTACTATGAAAAAATGACGCAGATTTCAAAATTTGGGGCACCAAAATAAACTCATAATAACTTGTTATAATATGTCTAAACCAAGTCTAGTTTGAGGCACTGAGAAGGCTAAGACATCAGTATGAAAAGGGCCCCTATTAGAGCAACATCAATTCTTCTAAAACGGAAGAACAAACAGCAAATTTATGGTGAACTTGGGTGGAAGACTGATGAAATTACTGATGGCTTACTAAAAGTTGATGGGAACAATGCCCCAAGGAAATCAGCATTTTACAAATGTATAACTCATTTTAAGAAGGGATGAGACAATGTTGAAGAGGAAGCCCATAGCGGCAGACCATTCACATCAATTGGCCTAGAAAACATTCATCATTTGTGCCCCAATTAGAGTACTGACAATTAACAGCTCAAATAGCCAACATCATAGACATCTCAACTGATTCCGCTTATACAACTGTGACTTAAAGTTGAGCAAGTGATCCACTCAGTGGGTGCCAAAACCACTAGAGCAGCTGCAGACAAGAAGAATGCTTTCGATGGAAATTTTATTTCATTTTATTTTTTTAGTTGGAGTCTCACTCTGCCACCCAGACTGGAATGCAGTGACCGCTCCCAGCCACTGCAGCCTCGACCTGCTGGGCTCGGCGATCCTTCAGCCTCAGCCTTCCAAGTAGCTGGAACTACAGGCGCGTGCTACCATGCCCAGTTAATTTTTTGATTTATTGTAGAGATGAGGTCTCGCCAAGTTGCCCGGGCAGGTCTCAAACCCGTGGGCTCAGGCAATCCACTCACCTCGGCCTCCCAAAGTGCTGGGATTATAGGCTGAGCCACTGAGTCCGGCCTCGATGGAAATTTTAAACAAGTGAGATCAAGAATCTGAAGGATTTATCTGAAGAATTATGGCAGGAGATAAAATAAGGCTTTACCAGTATGATCCTAAAGACAAAGCACAATCAAAGCAATGGCTACCAAGAGGTAGAAGTGGCCCAGTCAAAGCAAAAGTGGACCAGATGAGAGCAAAGGTCAAGGCAACAATTTTTGTGGATGCTCTAGGCAACCTGACTTTTGCTTGTTGACTTTCTGAAGGGCAAAAGAAAAACATATGTTTATCATGAGAGGGTTTTGAGAAAGCCAAAACTTTAGCAGACGAACACCTGGGAAAGCTTCACGAGAGTCCTTCTACATTGTGAAAATTTCCTACTCATTCCTCTCTTTTCAATGAGAAATAATTAGGCATCTACTTGATAGTCCTGACTTGGCTTCTTCTGACTTCCTTTTGTTTCCTAAAAAATCTCTGAAAGACATCCATTTTTCTTCAGCTACTAATGTTAAAAAGACTGTAATGACATGGTTAAATTCTCAGGACCTTCAATCAACTAAATGGCTGGTATCAACTATTACAAAAGTGTCTTGAACTTGATGGAGTTTATGTTGAGAAATACAGTTTGCATTTATCTTTTAATTTCATTGTTTCCATGAACATTTTGAAGTCCTCTTGTTTGTGTGTGTGTGTGTGTGTGTGTGTGTGTGTGTGTGTGTGTACACACTGAGATCAGAAATAAGTAAGATATAGTCTTCTTTAGTAAACTGCATTACTAAAAGACTAATGCAAGCTTCTGAAAATGGTAGGAATCATGCCCTGCCTCACTAATTTAGAACAGAAGCATCAGAGGTAGAATTAAAATATGCAAATAATAGAACATCTCAGATGTTCCAATGTTGGAGGTGTGAGAAAATTTTCAGATGATAAAATTTTCAAATTGGCCTGGTATGACATACTTAAGAGTAGCACTAGTCAGGTGTGGTGGCTCATGTCTGTAATCCCAGTATTCTGGGAGGCTGGTGTGGTGTCTCACGCATGTAATCCCAGCACCTTGGGAGGCTGGGGTGGGAAGATCACTTGACCCCGGATTTCAAGACCAGCATGGGCAATATAGTGAGACCTCATATCTACAAAAATTAAAACTAAAACTAAAAAAACTAGCTGGGTGTGGTGGCACACACCTGTAGTCCTATCTACTTGGGAGACTGGGGCAGGAGGATCATCTGGGCCCAGGAGTTCAAGGCTGTGGTGAATCATGATTGTACCACTGCACTCCAATCTAGGTGACAGAGTGAGACTGTGACTCAAAAAAAAAAGAGTAGCATCAACATGGCGGCTGATTCCCTAACTTCCAAACCAACACTTTATCATTTAAATAATTAGGCATTTATTCAACAACTATGAGGTTTACACAAAGCACTGGGGACACAAATGAAAATAAGATGCTAATGAACATTTGTATGCCTAACCCTGAAATGCACTCCACATCTTTAAAATAAAAAATTTAAAAGTTTAAAAAAACAAGATGTGGCTCCAGGTCTTAATGCGTTCTTAACCCAGAGGAAAAGATAAAACATGAACATATATGTGCTTTAAGAAACATTCTCATGTAGCGCCAAAAGCACTGAGGATGTGGAGAGGAGGAATAATGGTGGAGAAGGAATGTAGGAGATGACAACTGACCTGCATCTTTCCAGATAGCTAAGACTTCATCAAGAGAAGAAACTGGGGGAAAGGGAAAGCTTTTCAGAGAAGAGGAAACACATGAGAAGCACAGAGGTAAGAAGCACCGTTCTTGGGAGGGTGTGCACCAAACAGGTGGGGCAGGGTTACAGGATAGAGGTGAAGGCAGGACGAGGGTGTGGAAAAAATGATCTGGTAAATCTAGACTCCATCTTCCAATGCTGAAGAGCCACTGAGGAGTTTGCTTCAGCCAACACAATCAAACTGGTACTTCAGAGGGATCGGCAGTGGCTGGCTGGAAGATGAACTGGTAGAGGGGCTAGGTGGCTATTGCAATTGAGGTGGCAGGTGGCTAATGCTGAAGCAGGATGGCACAGGCTAAATAGGGAAGAGGAAACATTATTAAAGGATGTGGGGAGTGGACACTGGCATGAATTTTTTAGACGTGAAGAATGAGGGAAGGAGGACAGGGACAACCCCTAGGTTTCTAACTTTAGATGATGTGGTAAACATGATGCTACCAACTATAGTAAAAAATACAGGAGGGGAAAACAGGGTTAGAGAAAAGATGATAGGCTCCAATGACACACTCACTTTAGACTGGGTTAATCAACCTTCCTCAGAATTGCCTGGATATCATTTCTGAATCCTCACAGGCTTGACCTTTCCCACAAGCAAGCCCCTGTCATGAGATGGTCAATCTTTGAATAACATGGACTACTCAATTTAGTCTAGTTTTTTCCACTCCAGTATCTTGACCTCTCGGGTAGTGCGAGCCAGCCTCACAAACTCAAAGACAGGATAAGGAGGTCATGTAACACACGAAACAGATGGAGTCTTTCCTCCTCTGGACTCTTTTCCCACTTCC